TATTGGATTAAAGTTTTATTAAGCACAGCCCTGCCCACCAGAATAAGACCCAGCTTTTCCCACAGCAAGTCCCTCCCATCTGGAAGCTTGCACAAGCCTTTTCTGCCACCAGAAGGCAGACAAAAGAAATAAGAACTACAATCCCATCAGCCTACAGAATACCACAATCACAGAAAACTTCCGAAAAATGAAAAGAAATAGGATTATGTTCTGGATGAAGGAATAAGATAAATCCCCAGAAAAATAACCAAATGAAGTAGAGATAGGCAACCTACCAGAAAAAGAATTTAAAATAACTATAGTGAATATGATTCAGGATCTCAGAAAAAGAATGGAGGCAAAGATTTGAGAAGATGCAACAAATGGTAACCAAGGACCTAGAAGAAGTAAAGAACAAACAGAGATGAACAATACATAGGATGACTCAATAGCAGAATAACTGAGGCAGAAGAATGGATAAGTGACCCAGAAGACAGAATGCTGGAAATCAATGCTGCAAAACAGAATAGAGAGAAAAGAATGAAAAGAAATGAAGACAGCCTAACAAACCTCTGATACAACATTAAATACACCAATATTGACATTAAAGGGGTTCCAGAAGGAGAAGAGAGAGAGAAAAGACTTGATAAAATATTTGAAGAGATAATAGCTGAAAAGTTCCCCAACATGGGAAAGGAAATAGTCAATCAAATCCAGGAAGCACAGAGAGTCCCAGACAGGATAAACCCAAGGAGGAACACACTGAGACACATGTAATAAAACCGACGAAAATTAAAGACAAATTATTAAAAGCAACAATGGAAAAAAAGACAACATACAAGGGAAAAACCATAAAGTTATCAGCTGATTTCTCAACAGAAACTCTCTAAGCCAAAAGGCAGTAGCATAATATATTCCAAGAGACAAAATGGAAGAACCAACAACCAGGAATACTCTACCAGCAAGACTCTCATTCTGATTTGATGGAGAAATCAAAAGCTTTCCAGACAAACAGAAGTTAAGAGAATTCAGCACCACTAAACCAGTTTGGGCTCCAAAATCACTGCAGATGGTGACTGCACCCATGAAATTAAAAGACTCTTACTCCTTGGAAGGAAAGTTATGACCAACCTAGATAGCATATTAAAAAGTAGAGACATTACTTTGCCAACAAAGGTCCGTCTAATCAAGGCTATGGTTTTTCCAGTGGTCATGTATGAATGTGAGAGCTGGATTGTGAAAAAAGTTGAGTGCTGAAAAACTGATGCTTTTGAACTGTGGTGTTGGAGAAGACTCCTGAGAGTCCCTTGGACTGCAAGGAGATCCAACCAGTCCATCCTGAAGGAGATAAGTCCTGGGTTTTCATTAGAAGGACTGATGCTGAAGCTGAAATTTCAATACTTCGGCCACCTGATGCAAAGAGTTGACTCATTGGAAAAGACCCTGATGCTTGGAGGGATTGGAGGCAGGAGGAGAAGGGGACGACAGAGGATGAGATGGCTGGATGGCATCACCGACT